CTGAGTGTGTGTATACATGCAACTGTGTGTGCATGTGCGTGCACAAATGTGAAGGAACGCTCGGCATTTCCACCGTGGCACTGGCTCCATCAAGACTCAAGTGGAAACATTTAAATGCCTGTAAATGACACTTCAATAACACTGGACTGAAGACAGCACCATCGCAGGGTGTTTGGCAGATTGAGGGTTAACCACAAGGCTGCGTGGAGACAGACATCTTGCCCGGACTTGCCCAGCAGAAGCTTAATACAAAGGAGGTAGGCTCCACCTGGAGCAAGCCTGGGGACCACCTTGGAACGACCCAGCAAGACCCAGCCAGGGCCAGCCCCTTCCTTGCCTGGCCAGCGGCAGGGCAGGAGACTCCACCCAACTCCTGGGGTGCTGGCTGAAGAGGGCCCGCCAGGCACCGCACTGGCTCTGAGGCAGGAGGCCCGGTGGACAGGGGTCGTGCTGTGGAGGGACGGCTGCGGTCGCACTCTGCCTTCAGCTCCAAGATGAGCCTGGGCAGTGCTGCTCCTATGGGGTGTCGGTCCCAGAGGCCCCTCCTCCCCTTCTGTCTCCAGAAACCCAGAGCCCACCTGCTGCTGCTGCTCAGAATGAACACGCCCTGACATGTGCCACATGGCCAGCCGGTGCTCAGAACAGGACACACTGGTGACAGGGGCTGCTGGGCAGGTCATGAGTGTCACTCGGCCGGCTGCTGGTTGCTTCCAGTCTGGAAGACTGGGCCAGCTTGGGGCTAGCAGTCACGTGCTCCAACTTCCGTCCTGCCCAGAGCACCCTTGACCTCCCAAGCACCAGCCAGCCACCTGAAGACTCACCAGCCAGCAGGGACGGTGGCCACTGCAGACGCCTGGTCAGCAGTGGGGTCCCTGAGTGCCAGGACAGTAACAGCACTGTCCCGTCCCCTCCCCCGGTCCACCCTGTCCCTCAGGGAAGGGGTTCACTTGGAGGCACAGCTGGAGGATGGAGATGGGCGTGTGCCTCCATCTCTGGGCACCTTCTGCCCACGGGGCACTGGGCTGACGTGGGGATAGACGCGGGGGGGAGGCGGACACGGGGGCAGATGCGGGGGTGGACTCAGGTGGATTCGGGGACAGATGGGGGCGGACACAGGGGCAGAGGAAGGGATGAACTCGGGGACAGACAGGCTGGTGCTACTGTGTGCAGGCTGCCCAGCCCTTCCTGGGGACAGCGGAGCCAGAGGTGGGCACGGCCCCTCTCCCACCCCCGAGACTCATTCCCAGGGGCCCAGGCCCCCACCGAGGGGCTCTCCCGGACAGGGTGATGATGGTAACCCAACCATGAATGAGTCCCTCGAGGAACACGAGCCACTCGCCCTGGGAGCATCTTTAAACGTAAAGCAGAGGTACCTCCCGTGGTCATCTGAGAGCCGAGCGGCAGTTCAGCTTAACAACCAGTGAAAAGGTCGCTCTGAGCGCTGTGCTCTTTTAAGACCTGTCTCCACGGGATCAAAGTGACACCAGCCACTCGGAAGGCGGCAGGAACCTTAGGGGCAGGGAGTCTACGACAATGGGGAGGAACGACTGGGGACCAGAGGGGGCGACGGTCACACAACTGCCCTCGCATCACTGAATCGCACGTGCAGACACCACGGTGCTGGGAACGCTTTACTGTGTAGACCCTCAAGAACAGCAAGGGCCCTGGACGTGATGGTGGGGGAACAAACAGACCCCAGAGCAGGCCCCTGGCGTGGCTGAGGCACCCCTCCCCACGAGGCCCTGGCCAAGGGGGGCTAGAGCTCCGCGTCTGAGACCCGAGGGGGAAGCAGCCACAGGAACAGTGTAGGAGGACACAGGGACAGTGCTGCTGTGAGGGTCGAGGGCTACCGTCCCACAGCTGACCACACAGGGCAGACCATGGAACCAGCACACCAGGCAGACCACGGAGCCAGCAGCTAATCATATAGGACAGACCACAGAACCAGCAGCTGACCACACGGGGCAGACCATGGAACCAGCAGCTGACCACACACACGGGGCAGACCACAGAACCAGCAGCTGACCATACAGAATAGACCATGGAACCAGCAGCTAATCATAAAGGACAGACCACGGAGCCAGCAGCTGACCACACAGAATAGACCACGTAACCAACAGTTGACCACACAGGGCAAACCACGGAACTAGCAGCTAATCATATAGGACAGACCCCGGAACCAGCAGCTGACCACACGGGGCAGACCACGGAACCAGCAGCTGACCACACACACAGGGCAGACCAAGGAACCAACAGTTGACCACACACACGGGGCAGACCACAGAACCAGCAGCTGACCACACGGGGCAGACCACGGAGCCAGCAGCTGACCACACAGAATAGACCACGTAACCAACAGTTGACCACACAGGGCAAACCACGGAACCAGCAGCTAATCATATAGGACAGACCACGGAACCAGCAGCTGACCACACGGGGCAGACCAAGGACAGCTCTTCATGGGGGTGGGGCATGGTCACTGTCATGGTTTGAACTTTCTTCACACGGTGCACCATGATCACAAAGCCCTTGGGGGGTCACTCAGGCCAACCTACTACTTGACAGGTGGGGAAGTGAGGCAAAAGGGAAGGGACTCGGCCAAAGCCACCACGTGTACCTTAGAACCCCCAGATTCCAGGGATTCACAAAGCTGTCTGCCCAACGCTGACCCAGCCCCCAGGCCAGGGAGGGAGCCAGCTGGCGGTCCCACGAGAAGGTTCAAGGATGTTCTCCTAAGTGAGGTGAGTCAGGCCAGGCCACAGAGGGGCCTCAGGCACGGGGGACAGCACACAGCCTCCCCTGGCTGCCTCGCCCCACGGCCTCCCTCGCCCCCCCTCCCCAGCACCAGGGATGCCTACGGCATCGCTGCCGATAACCCAGATTCTAACCAAGAACTCGCACCCCCACCTCTGTCCCAGTTAGGAGCTAGCCGAACACAAGAATCCCAACAAGCAAGCCACCAGCCACCGAGCCCACCTGCAGCCCAGGCCTCCGGGCACAGAGTGGCCCACCGCCACAGGCCCCACCCACGGCCCCTGGATGCAGGGCCTCCCTCCCCCAGGAGGGGCCTGGGCAGGACGGGCGGGGTCAGAAGACTCTGGTGGCCTCACAGCCCCCACCCCCTCCTAAGAGGCTGGGCCTCGTCTGGGTACGGGGGGGGGGGGAGCACGCTGGTGAGAGGGACCATCACAGGGTGGGGTCAGGACTGCGTACCCCCAGACCCACCCTCTGCAAAGCCTCCTCAGGGCCACTGTTTCACTGGGCCTTCAGAATAACCCCGAGACGGGTGGGTGGTAGGCAGTTCCTCTCCAGGGGAACACGGCTCCCAGCACAGCCAGCACTTGCTCCCAGCAAGTGGCACCCCCCACTGGGAGAGCCGCTTCACAGGGAGGACCCTGGGTCTGGGCCTGGCTCTGCACGCACCCCTGGACCCTTGGTCCCTGGTTGGCCTGGCAATGAGGTGGGTGGGGCCCTCAGTGACTGCCCGGTGGCCTGCCAGCTCTGCTCTGGGACAAGCCAGCTGCCACAGCCTCTCCAGGGGACCCACTGCCCTGTGTTCCCCACACAAAGCTGGGGAGTCCCGTCAGCACCCTGTGGCCCCCGGGGCAGCCTACTGGCCCCTCCCCAGCCTCCCCAGGGCAGCGGTCAGTAGGAGGCAGAGGAAACTGCATGCCGGGAGATTCTGAGGCCTGGGGGTGGGGCCTGTATCACTGTCTGCAATGCCAGATCCCCAAGACTCGCTGGGGAGGCCCGGCCAACATGGCTGATTGCCCCTCCCCTCCCAGCCCTGAAACCAAGGCCCCGCAGCTTGTCTGCTACAGCACTCAAGGCTTCACACCAGTGCAACAGCGGGGACCTGTTCAGACAGCCTCGGAAACCTGACGGGTGGGGTACCTGTGCTCCGTCCTAGGGGTTGCTGGGAGTCGGAGCCAACCCGGCACACCACCACCACCATCAGTGCCCCTAAGTAAGTTACTGAGCTCTAGAGGCAAAGAACCACAGAACCCGGGACACCGCTGGGTGGCTGTGTTTGCCCAGAGCCAGGACAGGTCCGGGTGGGCGGCCTCTGAAAAGCCATGCTGCACTCACGCCCTGAAGGGGGCGGTGCCTGCGGGGAGGGGGAGTCCAGGGGAGAAGAGGGTGCCAGGGTGAGGCTGCTACCCCACCAAGCCCCAGGCCATGTGGGGCACAGGGGAGGAGACGTCCCGGCTCTGGACATCATCCCACCCCGCCCCCTGCAGGCACCACTGCCCGTGTGGCTGGAATGCCGGGCGCCGGCCATGAGCATGAACCCCACGCTCGAATCGGGAGAGGGCTGCTGTGCAGGTGCTCAGGGCAGTTCAGGGGCCCCTGTCCTGCGGGGCCAACTACAGGACCCTCTGCATGGGCAATCGTGGGTAGACAGTGGGGCAAACTCAGTCTGTGACGTCAAGGACCCTGAATGAGGAACAGCTCAAGGTGGGCGTTCCTGGGAGACTTGACTCCACTCAGCAGGCCCTTTCTGAGCCGGTCCCTGTGCAGGGCCCAGGACATGGCAGCACACTTGGTGGGTCCAGGGCACCCTGGGGCCTCACTGAGAGGGGGAAGCAGCACGGGTGGGCATGGGCGAGGCCAGAAGCCTCATGCTGCTGGTGCTGCACAGGGTGCCAGTGGCAGACGGGGAGACCGAGGCCTGGCGCAGCCCGCACAGGGCCGAGAGCCCTGGGCAGGAGTCTGGACCACTGAGACCTCTGTCTCCCCAGCTGTCCTGCAGGAGCAAAGAGCACGCCCCACGCGCCCCCCTCACCTCGTCCAGGATCGCGTCTGAGCTCCTCCACTCAGCATCCAAGGCCCTGCCTGCCCCAGACCTCGGCTCCTGCCACCTCGAGTCTGGGTTGTGGACTGGGCCCTGTGCCCACACCAGCCCTCGAGCAGGGCTTCAAGCACCAAGAGGGTGAGCACTGGGGCTGCGTGTCCCAGAGCCCACACGGGCCAAGCCGGGGCCCAGGGCGCAGTGTTACCTGAGTAGCTGCCGGTGGATTTGATGTACATCTGGCCGTACTGCTCCTCCACCATGGTGTCGTAGGCCTCGTCGTCCTCGTCATCCTCCTCGTTGTGGTAGGAGGTGGGGCTGTCGGTGGTGGGCAGGCTGCTGGCCCCTGGACTGGTCCTCTCGCCCTGGGTGTAGGGTACCGGCTGGATGCTGGGGATGAGGGTGGCCAGGCTGGGCACCCCGTAGTAGGAGACTCGGGGCAGCTTGAGAGGGGCAGCACCGGCTGCCACCGCGGCGCCCGAGGCCACTGCCACACCGTCCCGGGGCCCTGTCTCCAGTGGGCGCTTGGGGACCAGGTTGGGGCCAGCGGCCGGCGCCAGCTCCATGGCTTCATGCTTCACGCGGGTCAGCAGCGGGATGGGCACCGAGGGGGACACAACGTAGGACGTGGCGGTGGCGGGCTGCAGCTGGTTGCAGGGGCTCTGGGGCGCGGAGCTGGCGTCCTCGATCATGGCGGTCTGCGAGTCGCAGTGGGGCGAGCTCACCTTGAACATGAGGTCGGTGCCTCGCTCCACTATGTGCTGAATCTGCAAGAAGCCAGCCGTGTACATGACCACGAGCTGCTCACTGGCCGCCATGGTCAGCTTGCCCGTGTAGCAGAAAGACAGGATCTGCTGGAAGCAGCCGGGTGGCACCGTGCCTGGCAGCTCGAAGGCGCTCTTGCTGTTGCCGCTGAACAGGTCCCGGAAGTAGAGGCTGCTGGCGGCCAGCACGGCACGGTGGGCCTTGAAGGCCTGGCCCTTGACCACGATGGACACATCGCAGTAGAGGCCCAGCAGGCGCTGCTCGTTCAGGCAGCCCAGCACAGTGTTCCCGAAGTTGGGGATCTCAATGTGCAACATCTGGGACATGGCGGGTGGCAGGCACGGCGGGTGCGGGGGGCACGCCTCAGGCTGTCAGCACGGGAACAGCCCCAAGGGGCTCATCTGTAGAGAGGGCAGGAGACACGGTCAGGTCCTGCTGGGCGGTCCCGACGCGCCCCTCCAGCAGCCCACCCTCGAAAGCCACCCTCGAAAGCGCTGTCTCCCCAGCCCCTCCCTGGCCAGAGTCACCTCCAGAGCTGGGCCTCCCCAGGTCTCCAGGGAGACAAAGCGGCAGAGCATAATTGCTAAGACGGTAAGCGGTGTTCCTCGCGGCCAGCCAGAGGCTCCCCATCCCCGTCCCCGGGAGAGTCTGCCAAAGCCCTCCCCCGAGACATGGAGCCACGAGCCCCCCCACCCTGCAGCACAGAAGACAAATGACAGAGCTGTGACCTGTCTGAGGACACGCAGGGGGAGGGGCAGGAGGGAGCCACTCCGTGCCCCAGGAAAAAGTTAGGGCTCGCGGAGGGTGGGAGGGCAGGGCGCAGCCTCCGGCTTCTGCTTCGGCTGTTTTTCCTGTTTCTCCCCCCACCCCCCCGCAGAGGCTGGGGGGGGCGGCTCCCTGCCCTGACACCGGCTGACAGCTGCATCCCTGCGGGCGGAGAAGGAGGGGTGGGACCACCTGGGGGGTGCCCAGGGAAGTGGGCTGAAGTAGGAGACCCTAACCGGGCCCCCCAAGGGCTTGGCCACCTCTGACCCCCCAAGGAGAGGTGCCCAAGCCTGAGGGGTCTGAGCCGGGCCGGGGCTCGGAGCCACCTGGTCCCTGAGCCCCCGTTGCCGCTGTGGTCAGGAGTTGCGAGCCTGTCGCAGAAGCACGCTCACCGCTTCCCCCGCTCCCAACGCCAGCCAATCCCCGCTGCTTGCTCTGAGCCCAGGTAACTAAAGGGGTCACGGGGGGGGGTGGAGATTGGGGGACACAGAGAGCCACAGAGGGGCGTCAGCCTCTCTGGTCCTCCCGGGGCCAGTGGTGCTGACCTCCCCCTGGGCTAGGAAGGGGCAGGGGAGGGGATAGGCGGGAGAGGGCGCCAGCCCAACTCTGGGCAGGCCAGCCAGTGGCGTACAAAGGGCCACCTGTCCCATGGGAGCAAGTGTGGCAGCCAAGGGCAGTGGGGAGGGGTCCCGGAGGGTGGGGTCCTCGGTGTGGGGCAGGGGCAGGGCAGGTGGGTGCCTGCTCAAGGAGGGCCCGCAGTGCCCACTGGGGCCGCTGCGGATAACTTGCCGGCCCAGTGGGCGGCTGCAGCTGGCAGGGGACCTACCTTTGGTCACTGCTGCCCGCACGGCACTGCCCGCCCGCCCGTGGAGCCGCTGCGACCCGCACCGTGGCCGCCCGCCCGCCCGCCCGGACTGCAGCAGCGAGCGGGCTCGCGGGGCGGGAGGGCGGAGGAGGGCCGGTCCCGCGCGGGCGCCGCTCAGCTGCACCCGCCCGGCTCGCCCAGGCAACGCACAGCATCTAAATGAAGAGGCCGGATGCAGACGCGCGTCCCGGCAGCGCCCGGCGATGAATAGCCGCCTTTGATTCGGGCGCCGGGGCAAATGCCAGCTCCCGGCCCGGCTTTCAGAACAGCGGAGTGGCGGTGCCAGAGGCCCGCGCGGCCCGGGTGCTGGTACCGGGCAGACTTGATGACTCACCGCAGTGCAAACAAAGATGGCAGAGACTACACACAGTACGCGGGGAAGCTCCCGGCCGCAGCCGGCCGCCCGGAGATTTATGGTGCAGTCCTGCATATGAATGACTCCGGGAACGGCCCCCTGCCACCCAGTGCAGCGAGTGTCAAAGCATTTCAACTATTCCAAACAGTCTGCGGGGCGGGTGGCCCGCGCAACTCCTGGGGGCAGGGGAGGGGGACATGAGGAGACGGGGGAGGGGACAGAGGAGCAAAAAGGAGGCACAGAAGTGGTCGGACAGGGCAGTGGCCCCTTGGTGCCCACCATCTCCCCTTCCCCATAAGGACCCTCAGCCATGCCCCCTGCCTGGGCCACTGGCCCAGCGGGTCTGGCCTCAGCGTCCCTTCCTGTGCCCTCTCCGCGGGCAGCCACCCACACCCTTCATGTCCCCCCCCGCCCCGCCCAACTCCTTAGAAAAGGAGCCACTTGGAGAACATGGCTGTGGCCCAGGCACCAGGCACTGACCACCCACCCCGGCAGAGGCCCAGGCATAAGTATAAGTGCCCACATCTCGGCTGCGGCTGGGCCGTCGCCAGGCAGAGCCGCTCTCTAAGTGGTGAAACCACCCTGCGAATACCGGTTCCGCAGTGTCTGACACTTACTGGCCCCCTTCTGGGAATGGGAAGGGATGCGTGTGTGTGTGTGTGTGTGTGTGTGTGTGTGTGCGCGCGCGCGCGCCCGCGCCCGTGCGCGCTCGCGCACTTGGCTGGGCTCACTGCCACCCCCTGCAGGCGTGTCTGGCCCTGGGGAAAACCACTGGACCACCCTGCCTTGGTTTCCCCATCACCACCTCCTGAGGCTCCAGAAGAGCCAATGCAGGAAGGACGGTCCCCCCACCCTTTCCTGCACAGTAACCCCTACGGGCAACACACTGAGGGCAGGGAGGTGAGGCTGTGCCCCCCAAACTCCCAGTACCCCCCCAACACCAAGAGGAAGACCACCCAGCACCCCCATTCACACAGCAGGCTCCACTCCCCCCGACAGGAAGCCGCTGAGCGGGGCGCAGGAGGCACCCAGGTGGGGACCAGCCGGCCAGCTGGCCGAGCCACAGCATCTTTGGAGCTGACACTAGGCCTCCCACCTAGAGCCGACGGGAGGGGACAGTGCAGGAACGCTCACAAACCTGTCCCAAAGAGTTGAGGCCTCGGGGCAGGAGCCGCTCAGACACCCTGGGGCTCCCATGCCCCAGCCAGTGCTCAACACTGGGACAAAAGATGTTCCGATGCCCAGTGGTCACCTCCAGGCTGACTGGCCAGAGTTCAAATCTGACCTGGCCACCGAGCCCGGGTTGAGTCTCCTAGGCCTTGGGGTCCCCACTCACTCAACTGCACATCCACAGTGCCACCTCCCCACATGGAGGGCTGACACAGGCAGTGTGCAAGAAGGGCCCTGGCTGAGGCAGCTCAGCCCGGCGGGCTTCCTGGAGGAAACGGCAGCTTGGAGGGGCCAATGAAGAGCTCCGACACCCTAGTCCCACCCCCACCTTAAGCCAACCCTCTCCAGCAACACCCTCAGGCCACACTGCCCACTCCACTCCCGCTGTCCCCAGCCCGCCCCTGGGCCACACAGCTATGTCATCACTTCTGCCACATGTACACACGGGGTTCTACAAGACCCCTCCCCGGGCAGTCTCACCAACCCGCACAGCCCCTGCCAGAAGTCCTGTCGTATCCCAGAAAGGACTGTGGTGACCCCTTCCCAGGGCCCAAGAGAAACCCGACGCCCCCAGGATGAGGGGGCTGGCACTTGAGTGGGGCACAGTGTCCAGCCCCGGCAGCCCCAGCACAGGCGGTCGGGGCATGGCAGTGCCAGACCTGGTAGTCAGCCGACAGTGGGCCCGTGACGGGGTGGTGAGTGTGGGGGACAGAAGCTCTCACCAGGAAAGATGGCAGGGCGGGCACCCTCTGAGTGGCTGCCTAGCCCGGTGAGCAGAGGCCAGCAGAGGCCAACCTATGGGCCCCGGCCACCCAGGAAAGGGCTCCGCAGAGGACAGTGACACGCATGGGTCCATCCCTGCTACTGGAAGGTCCAGCCTGGGGCACCACTTGCTGGACCACTCAGTAGGCCAGGGGCCAGCTACTTCCTGTCCTCGTCCCGACCTCATCAGTAACATGAGGCCACAGCGTCCCTCGAACACTGCCTCACACCCCTAGAGGGACACCATGGGCTGAGATGACACTGGAAGTCCCCGTCCAGCCTGGCACAGGCACAGCCTGGTCCCCTCCCAGGAGTCACTGCATTGGGACCCAGACAGGCAGAGAGGCAACTGAGCAGGGCTTGGCCCGGGTGGTTCTCCACCTCCCAGACCAGTCGCAGGGCCCTCAGCACCCATCTGCAGGCCAGAGCCCAGGGCCAGGGCCAGACCTGACCCAGAAGGGACCACTACTCCCCTGGGAGGTGACAAGGCTGCTGGGGTCCCCGGGGAACAAGGACAACCACGGCTTCTGCTGCCTGTCCTCGGGCCACCTGCAGGGCGAGGCCGCCCACCCCGGGGAGCAGGCAGGGAGCTGGTTTTAAGTTGCTTCCTTAGAAACCTCGGCTGCAACAAGAACAAAGTCGACCTTCACGGGGAGGAGCTCAGGCTTGGCTTCCGCGCAGGCAGAGCAGCCACGCGAGGCCAGGACCGAGGGGCTGGCGCTCGGGGGGCACCGAGGATGCCAGCACCTCCTCACGTTTCCCTGCGCAGCCCACTTGGCAACCGCCTGTCCCACCCGTGTCTCAGTGTCCCCTGCCATCAACACCCCCATCCCACTCCCCTCCAGGCAGGCAGTAACCCGAGAGCTCTCCCTTCCCCCCGCTGCCACAATCAGCTGGGCGCCGGCTCACACCCACCCAGCAACACCTGGGAAGATAGGCCTGACTCTGCTTCCGAAAGCCCCCCGGGGCAGCTCTAATACACACATAAGGTGCCAGGGGTCAGAACCGACTGCAATGGCTGGTCTCATGGTGCCAGACCCACTGCCCCTTCCATCTGCAGGGCTCCCAGGCACCAAGCCTGAGGGGACAGTGGTGCCCAGGGCCCAGGGGATGGGGGCGGACCAGGCACCCCAAAAACTATGACCCCATCACCAGGGGATCCTTGTCAGGGTGCCCCAGACATCAGCCAGAGCAGGCGGGTCCGTTTCCTTATTTAAGCCCGCCTCCAGCCGCCCCCCACGCCGCACCCCCCACTGAGCTCCTCACCCCCAGCTTCTGCCGTCTCCCCTCCTTGTCCCCCTGCCCCCTCAGCTCCCGCCCCCTCCGCCGCCCCACCACCACCACCATGGACAGCCAAAGGGATACAGGATTCCGTTCCTGCGGGGTCACCATGGCATGGAGAGGGAGGCGAGATAAATTAAATTAAGGAAGACTATGTTGCAGGATTTAATTTCCCCGACCTAATAGGTCCTGGACCTCAACAAAC